TCGCTGAGGGACTAGGAGACTATTGTAAGTGTGATTAACGGGTTTAAAAGGTAGGCAACGCATATGCAATTGCGTATGTCTATGGGCAACGATCACTTTGCTATTTCATCGATTTCAGGTGGCTGCTCGCTCGTTTGCTACCTTATGTTATAAAAAAAAAGACTAGGCCATAGTCAACCACGCTGGTCAAGTGAGGGATACTCTGTTACCTAATAGTATTTAAATTTGTAGAAAACGTGTATACGTTTTTTTCGAAATCACTAGTAAATTTGAACGATATTTTATAGTAAAATGTTCGCAATTTTCACAAAATGGTAGTGTAATTCACAATAATTTGAATAAGCAATTTAATACACTTCTGAAAATCGACGTCCAACTATCAAATTACTTTGCTCCGGTGTTCGGTAGCATAATAATAGGAAGAGCCTTGAAGTAACGGAAAGTAATCATATATGCTTGTTATTTGCGCCACACATTTTCCTTGATCAAAATAGATTTGTATTAGTTCTGACACGTTACAGAAACACATTAGTGCGTGACTGAGTGAATGATATTGACAGTTAAGTAACATTGCTTTTGCTTTCGACAATTTATGTCTTTTAAGAAATAAAGAATGAATAATAAAGCTGTCGTCAGCGACTCCGTCAACACGGTATTAAAAAATTAATTAACAGCCTACGTGTTCTTCTAGATTATGTCCTGTATTTATGCCAAATTTAATCGAGATCCTTTCAGCTGTTCTTGAGATACCTTCAAACATCCATCCATCCATCTAAACATTCGTATTTATAATATCTGTAAGAAGTAAGAAGGTGAAGGAATACCTGCACATATCTGAGAAGAAATTCAAAGATATGTGTGAAGTCAACCAACCCGGCTGGCGTAATTGGCCATGGCCTAGTCACCCTTAACTTAGGGTAGGCTCCGAGCCTCTCGGTGGGGACATATAATGAGCTTATGATGAAGAAGTAAGATGAATATATTACAGCAAGTTTTTGAATCCTGTCAGCGATACAGAAATTGAGAGTTAAGTTAGCAATGTATGGACATATACGGAGAAATAATGGGCGCATACAAGAAAGTAAAGCGATTTAATGTAGACGACTATAAAGATAGAGGAAGACCAAAATGAGTATGGATTGTATAAAAGAAAATGCGTAAGATGGCAATGAATTCAGATATAACTGCTAATAGGGATGTATGTAAGAATAACACATACTGTACCAACTCTGTGGGGTAAAGGGGAGAAAGATGATGACGATAATTAATCACTTGTCATAAGAACCAGTATTAAAATGTCCGTTAATTTGCAAACACGAGAACGTTCTTTGTTAACTTTAGTCCGATGAGAGAAGTTTCATAAAGTTGGTGCCGCGACAAAGCCGACATGAAATCAATCAAATCTTCAAGTCTCTTGACTTTGCAAATTTGTCATTGTTATGGTAATGTTTCCTTGCTAGTTGCTGGAATAGTTTGAGACTTTTTTTTTTTTTTTATAAGAGAAGGGGGCAAACGAGCGGCGGGAACACCAAGGTGATCATCGACACCCATGGACATCTGCAACACCAGAGGAACTGTAGATGCGTTGCCGGCCTTTAAGGAAATGGTATGCTCGCTTCTTGAAGGTCCCTAAGTCGTATTGGTTTGGAAATACCGCCGAGGACAGACCGTTCCACAACGCGACTGTGCGAGGCAAGAAATTGCGCGAGAATCGCACCGTTGTGGAACGCCAGCCATCCAGGTGGTGTGGATGGAACCTGGCGGTCTGTCGTGTCGTCCGATTACGGAACTCGGCGGCAGGAATCGTTCCAAACAATTCTTCGGAACACTCCCCATGGTAAATGCGGTAAAAAATGCAGAGGGAACTAACGTCCCTCCGCAAGGCCAGGGAATCAAGCCGATCGGTAAGACCTCGGTCGTTGACGATTCGAGTCGCTCTCCGTTGTATGCGGTCAAATGGAAGAAGCTGGTACTGGGGTGCTCCTGCCCCTCTGGGCACCTCTGTGCGAGCAGTACTCCATATGGGGCCGCACTTGCGCCTTATAAAGTTGTAGGCGGTGGCCCGGCTGGAAATACTGCTTCGCCCTACTG